TTGTAATTATTGATAATTCTGTTGGGCATTTCTGGCAGTTACATTTAATCATGTACAATTACCTTTCTTTTTGTCTCTGTCACTCGCTATATATATATATATATATATATATATATATATATATATATATATATATATATATATATATATATATGCAAGTCTGTGTGCTTGTATTTATATATGTATATATAAATATATGTTTGTATATTATGTTCAACCCCCAAAGAGGCTCACCTATTGTTTATACTGCCACTATGGTGACCAGGGAGTTACTGTTTCATGGCGATTGCACACTGTATTGATTGATCAGAAATATGACCAACGACAGTAAGATTAAACTCTCGGTTACGATGACTTGCGTCTTCGTGCTAGCACTACTGTCAACATAGTAAAGTAAAATGTCTTGGGAGGATAACCCTTGTCTTCATCCTGTAAAGGCTATTCTCAAAGGAAAACATCAACCAAGAGATTGCACTCCAGCCTAGAATTGGTAGATATGCACGAAAACAATTTTTCTATGTGGATCTAATCACTGGCGATAAAGGTGAAACTTGATTTTCACAGTCGGTCGGCTCTTTTCACTTCCAAGACAAATGTGCTCCTGTTATTAAAGATAAGCATACTGAATATATAGTGAGATATAGACAAAGTGGGTAATTGGACATGGTCAAATGTAACTGGTAGAAATGCCCAACGAGCAGAATTGTCAACTATTACAATAAACAATAGCAAAAGAATGAAATGAACAGATCGAATATTTGCAAGTTCTTACTGAATTTACTATAAAGAATTGATTTCGTATTTAGTTTTGAATAATTCGTAAAATCTTTAGAAGTTTCGATCTATTATATGCATACTTATAGGTTTTTTCCTGCAATCCCAAATTATTCGCCTCACTCATGGAAATTATGAAATAATATTGATCAATGGCAATTGTAATGATTTTCTTAATGTGAAATTTAATACAAACACCATTTGAGATTGAAATAGTGTTGGCCTGATTCTATAATATTCTAAAAGATAATGAAGAAGACAATATTTGAGTGCCACATACCGCAATAACTCATCCGTTCTTCAACCATGGAAAAGACGGCTAAACTTTATAAGAAGATCCGAATGAAGATATCTGATGCGTACAAATGAGGTGATGGATATAGAATAACTTCCAAGCGTTTAAATGTTCTTAGATCTACAATTCGTAGCATTATCAAGAACAATAACTCATTGTGTTGAGAATAAATTAAAGACTGCCAGAAAATGGTTAATTTATGAGAGAATGGAAAGGAAAATTGTTAGAAATGTCTCACTTAACAACAAATGACATTGTCAATGATGTAAAGACATAAAGAGGGTTGAATGTATCGACGAAGCTTTCATCGAGAGAACTTCGAGTTTGTCGCCAAGGAAAACTCCCTTGCATAAGGCTTTACACCTTATATATATGGAGGAAAGTGAATAAATTTCACAAACCAAAAATACCCTTCCCATCGGTGGCGGGAGCATTCTGATCTGTGGAAGTTTTGCTGCTTCTGGACCAGGAGAACTAGTGAGAGTACATGGCATCACTGATAAAGAGCAGTATTTGGTTATTCTTAAAAATAATATAAAACAAAGTGCACAAAATCTGTTTTTAGGTTCGTCGTTGGATGCAGCCAACCCAAAATACACGGCACAAATTGTTACAAAACAGATGAGATCAAAATTAAGGTATTGGCATACCGTGGAGAAAGTCCTGACCTAAAGCCCATTGAAAATTTATGTGCATATTTGAAGAAAAAGTATGGGAAAGAATTCCTCCGAATTTGAAGGAACTGGAAGCTATTGCCAGGGAGGAATGGAACAAAATACCTAACAGTGTCTGTATTGACCTTGTAAGGAATTATCAAAAATTATTAAAGGCAACAATCAAGAATAAATGTTACATTCATTCAAATCCATTATTTCATCATTTTAAGCACAACTGTATATATGAAATATGATTTTAAGGTATGCTATATTTATAGGTCAAATTGCTCGATATCAGGGATAAAGAGCATGCAAAGGGCATGGCCACTTACACACACACACACACATATATATATATATATATATATATATATATAGTGCGATGGATAAATTGTCGTATAGATTACGCTTGAATGAAAATAACATTGTTATCTCAGTTTAACAGATCTGTTTTATCAAAATTAGACAAAAATATCTTAAAATATTAAAGACGAAATATATTCAGGAAAATCCCAATTGGGTTCAACCCCAGCCTCCAGAAGACTTCGGGACGGTCTCCTTGTTTACGTTGGTGAATGCTGCCATAATACCTGCCTTCACTTCATCTCTGGTGTGACAAGGATTTTGGTTGGACCCTGTTTGAATATGTATACATAGTATATACTTCCGCCCACTCACGAACACACCTGCATGCACGCTGAACGCATCATATATATATATATATATATATATATATATATATATATATATATATATATATATATATATTATTATTATTATTATTATTATTATTATTAGAGTATATATGTATTAAATATTTGCTTATATCATATGTTACCGTTTATCTAATGTTTGATTTTTATTTAATAGTAGTTTATTTGTTTTACCCTCGTGTTATATGGAGGTATATGGGGGGGTAGGTTTGTTCGTTTGTAGTTGTTTTGTTTTGTGTGTATATATATATATATATATATATATATATATATATATATATATATATATATATATATGTACATACACACACGAGTACAGGTGTGTATATTTTTAATATTGGTTTATTTATTTAAATTTTTAAAATTTATGTTATATTTATTTCATTTATTTAAAGATTATATTATATTTATTATATTTATTTGTTTAATTTTAATTAGTGCTTACATTAAAAGTAAGTATTTATTTATATGCCTACATTTACTCATTTAACAATTTTCTTCTTTATGAGTTCATTTTAATTTTTAAAACTAATCATTTCTAATTTTTCCTCTAAGCATAATTTACAATTTTTACTGTTAATCCTCTATGGGGGTTGCTCTTTTTATAATTTCCCATTTGATTTTGGTGCGTTTATTGTTTTCTACTTGGCTCCATATGTATTTTGATATGGTTATATTGTTTCTGTACTGTTTTATCTCGGAGGACATTTTGTGATTATAATATCTTTCTTTTAATTTTATTTTCTGTGGCGCCTGTAAATTATTTCGTCTGTGTTAATGTCATTAATTATGATATCTTTGTATATTGTGTTGTTTGTTAAACATTTATAGTTAAATGGGCAATTTTCTTTGTTAAATTTTATGTCATTGTTATTGTTTTTGTTTTTGTTTTTTTGTTTTTTTGTTTTTTTTGAGTATTTTTTTATTGTGCTTGATTGTATTTTTATTGATAATTTTTGATAATTTATTGCTTTTAGGGAAGTGTTTGTCAATTATTTTGAAGAATATTTTCCCTATTTTTGTTTTTATCATGTTGTCGTGGCTCGGGTGAATCAAACTATTTTTTGTGTGTGTTTTTGTTTGAACTGTTTTCGTTTTTTTATTCTATTTTGAATGTCCGCTGTTTCTTAGGGCTTATTCATATGTTTTCTTTGTTTTCATTGAATATTTTTAGGCCACTAGAATTTGTTGAAATTCTTTTATTTATAGATAGGGTATTTTTGATTACATTAATGGGATGGTTGAAGTTTTTTTAATGTATATTGGGTTGTTTTTTTTTTTTTTGGTTATATATATATAATGTAATGTATTTATTTCTTTTCTAGTTTGGAATTCCTCTCTTGACTAAAATTCTTTCTTTTACATTTAAAATATTTTCCCTGGGAACCTAGTTTCTCCTGTTTCAAAATTATTAATTTAAATCTTCATATTTTAATAGAATATTTAAATACCGACTTTAAGACCCAAGCCCGTTTTGTTTATATCTATATGACGCAAAGAGAGAATTTATTCACTTAACCAGACGTAAAAGCCACAGGCGTGTATGAGAAAATCCAAGGAAATTCAAACCGTTAGAAACGGCATTGTCAATGGTCAATTAACTATATTGTAAGCATAACTGACTCAAAAGATAAACTTTCAGAATGAGACAAATTTTTTAGTAATAATTGGGAAGCTTTTTTACTATGGCTTTTAAAAAAAGGATTTCTTTTTTTTATTTTTCGGGAGAATATAGATCCTGTTACGTGTGTTTATTATATTCAGGAAAGTAATTTGAAAAGCATTGTCGAGGAAGAAAGGCCTCAAAAAAGAAAGAAATTAAAAAGCTAGCTTATCGATTTTAATAACAAAGATAAGGAGAGGTAAAGGCTCTGTGAATGTTTATTGGGAAAAATATTGTAGATTTTACAAGTACAAGATTTGCGACTAACAGCTTCGATACGCTGACCGAATCTTCTGATTTGTTCGATTTTTCTTTTGCTCTTTTTTTTCTTTTTTGTTGTTGCTGTTTTTGAAGGTGTAGTGCTACTTATAGCCGTAAGAAATCACTAAAATGCTAAATATGATGGAGTAGAGAAAAAATTATTCAGTGAAAAAAGATGGTCATTAAACATCTTAGAAAGATAATTTATTAGGCTAATATAAATGTCATAGAAAATTGATACATAGGTGTGATAGAAAAATAATTACTTTGAAAATGGCGTTTATAAACAAGAGTTCCTTCCACTTGTAGCGTTATAAGGCAGTGCTGCATGATCCTAAAAAAGAAATAAATGCACTTGTACCCTTGAAAACATTAAGTTTCAACAGGACTAATCTACTGATTTCATTGTTTTATTTAAATTTAATACTGACATGTTTATAAGCGACGAATAATCACAGCTACATGTTATTTAGTTCGCTTGATCATATTTAAGATATGATGATTTTAGGTGAACATTTAGTATTAATGCTGATTCATGTTGAATAAACAACCGGAAACCAATTATATTTGTTTTTTAAATATGATTGGCCAATTTTTCTTGGTCTGTATAATAAAACTATGATTCATGAACGGAAAGATCAGAATTGAAGTTGCTTATAGAAGGTCAGCGAATAAACACGAGATAAGCGCGAGCTCATATGCGAAGAAAGAAAGAAAGAAAGAAAGAAAGAAAGAAAGAAAGAAAGAGAGAAAGAAAGAAAGAAAATGATTGATGCAAATAGAGAAACGAATTGATAGAAAAACAAAATTAAGAAAGAAAGAAAGAAAGAAAGAAAGAGAGAAAGAAAGAAAGAGAGAAAGAAAGAAAGAAAATGATTGATGCAAATAGAGAAACGAATTGATAGAAAAACAAAATTAAGAAAGAAAGAAAGAAAGAAAGAAAGAAGAGGAAAAAATAAAGAAAGTGACTGATGCAAAAAAGAATAAAGAATACCGATAGAAATAAATAACAAAGAAAGGTGTTTATAAGAAAGAAAGAAAGAAAGAAAGAAAGAAAGAAAGAAAGAAAGAAAGAAAGAATTTAATACAAAAAGAGAAAAACGAACTGATAGAAAGAAAGAAAGAAAGAAAGAAAGAAAGAATTTAATACAAAAAGAGAAAAACGAACTGATAGGAAAAAAGAAAGAAAGAAAGAAAGAAAGGAAGAAAGAAAGAAACAAACAAACAAACAAACATAAAAGAAAGAAGGTTGATGGAAAAAGGGAAAGGTACTGAAGGAAAAACAAAAGTAGTAAAGATAGCAATTTATAAAATAAAGTAGAAAGGAAGGAAGGAAATAAGGAAAGACAGACGACAGAAAGAATATTATTTTTTGTAGAAAGTATAGTTTTTTAAAATGAATCAAAATTTCGGAAATGTTATAATTAGATTCAATTAGAGTTTCACTTTTTGATATTTTACTCAATAGAACTTTCAGAAACATACGTTTATTTTCTGGAAGAGAATCAAGATTTCCCAGTACAACACCGACTCTAAAAATCTAAAAAAATAAATGCTTAAAATATGCATTGTGTGGATGTATCTACACTCAAGTACATATATATTTACGATATAATGCGTCCATCCCTTTCATGAGCATATATACGTATACTTATATAAACGCATATTTTGTAGAAAAACTATATACATATGTTTGAAGATATATAAATGAATGTGCATATATGTATATTTAAAAAAAAGCTATCTTGTTCATATATATATATATATATATTATAAATTAATTGATTTAAAATATGGTTATTTTCGCTACACAGTTCCAACCATGTTTCAAAAATAGAAGCTAAAAACCCCTAATTTTATTTTTGCAAATAAATTAAAAGCATTAGTTCCATTTCATCTTCAAGCGAATTTTGGAGTAACTTTTAAAATTTACCGGGTTTTAAATACACAGCTAAAATCACGTTTCCATGGTTACAGAATATTCTACTCAAATTGAACACGGGGTGTCTAGATTTTCCTTATGACAGTATCATTGTATCAGTTATTAGCTACATTTTGGTAAGGGGTGAGGATGTATTTTACACTGAAACCTGACGTCGGTTGAATGGATGTCGTCTGAAAAAAAAAAAAAAAAAAAATTGTTAACGGTAAAAAATTTTCAACGTCATCTTTTAAAATTAAAGATTTTTTTTTTTTACAATACTTTTTATTTAACTACGATTTGAAATATTTTCCTTTTTAATTTTTATTTTACTATATTCTTTTTTTAAGAACAGTTAAATGTATTAGAATCCATTATATTATGTAGGATTATTTTAACATTAAGTTTAAGTATGTATATGAGGTTACATTTTTTTTTTTTTTTTTTTTTTTTGTATATGACTATGACAGCAGAAATGGTTACTTAATTTCGCTGATTCAGTAAACTTTTCTTTTATATATAAACCTATTATTATAATATTTCACATGTAAGTACTGAGGACATGGGTCATTCAAAAGCTTACATGTTATGATATTTCATATTAATTTTATTTTACTATAGGTGTTATTTTTGGATTCTTTTTAATGCGTGTAGTATTATTTAAAAGAAATTTAGGTTAGAATTCATTCAATTTAACTACAATTTTAATTACAAATTCAAAATTACAACTTTAAAATTTTAAAATATTTTCATTGTTTAGTTTTAATAGACTATATTACTTTATAACAGAAGGAAAATTACTCATATTAAGTAAGATTTTTATTTTTTATTTATATACATACTCTTGCTCCTAAATAAAGTCGAGCACTCTAAATCTTTATTTTTAACAAGAAGAAAATATGGAAAAAATAAATTTCGGAATTTCTCTGAAGAACATTCCTAATACCAACAAAAAGGAATATTTCGAGTTATTAATGAATAAAACAGAGGAACTTATACGAAGGATGAGATGGAGAGCTTACTTCTTCCTTAATAAGAATCAACCAAAAAACAAAAAATACAAGGAAACTTACGGTTTTAACAGTAAAAATGCAGCACCATTTATTCATGGTTTGTCCGCTTTCGAAAAGGACCTACTGGAAATAATTAACAACATAAATTTCCATGACAAGAAAAGCTACTTCCAGAAACGCCTGGATAAGATTGTAAAGGATATAAATGCTACAGATAAAATTTTAGTAAAATCCGATAAAACTGGGAACTTTTATAAAACATCCATAAAAGAATATAACGACCTAATAAATAAAGACTTGTATAAGAACTACAAGAAAGCGAATAACAATGACATCAACATAGTTCGGGATATCAATACTAGAAGTAAGGAAATCACTGATAAACTAATGATCAGTGATAGAGTAGGACAACTAGACCAAAGAGAATGCTACATCACCTTGAAGGACCATAAACCTGATTTTGAGGCTAATCCCACTACAAGGATAATTAATCCCACAAGACCGGAGATAGGAAAAATAAGTAAAATGATCCTTGAAAGGGTAAATAAACAAATTAAAGAAAAAATTAGCCTCAAACTGTGGATTAATACAAAGGAAGTGATAAACTGGTTTACCACATTAAAAGGAAAAAACAATTGTACATTAATACAATTTGATATCGATAATTATTACCAATCGATTTCCAAAGAACTATTTTTCAATGCGTTGGACTTCGCCACCCACTTTACGGATATTACAGAAGAAGAAAGGAACATTATTCTGTTAGCAAAAAAATCAGTACTTATACATAAAGGTGAGGAATGGGTTAAGAATTCTTACGACAAATTTGACATCACAATGGGATCACTAGACTCAGCTGAGTCTTCTGATCTCATTGGCCTCTTTATATTATACAATCTTACAGCACACTATGAAATTAATACAAATGATATTCGTTTATACAGGGACGATGGGCTAATGGTCATTAGAAACTCAACGAACTTCAAAATAGATAGAATTAGAAAGTTATTATATAAAGAATTTAAAAGCATGGGCTTAAAAAAAAAAAAAAATTACAGTTAGTACTAAATTAAAAAAAGTAGACTTCCTAGATATAACTTTAGATCTAAATAAAAATACATACACACCTTATAAAAAACCCAACACCAATCCTTTATATATACATCCTAAATCAAATCACCCCCCATCTATAATTAAACATATACCGTTATCTATAAGTAAACGAATTAGTACAAATTCAGCTAATAACAATTTTTGATGAGCATATCAATGGCTATAATAAGGCTCTAAAAGATAGTGGCTACAAAAACCCAAAACTAGCGTATATAAAAAATGAAAATGGAAAACATAGAAAAAACAGATGTAGAAAAATTATTAGGTATACTCCCCATATAACCAAATGGTAAAGAACAGATTAGGACATAAATTCCTCACATTAATAGTCAAGCATTTTCCTTGTGAAAATAAACTAAGTACTATTTTCAATAAAAACACACTAAAATTAAGTTATAGCTGTACAAAGAACTTAGAAAAAATCATTAAGAACCATAATGCTAATATCTTAAATAAACACTTATACCAAAACCAAAAAAATTTAGACAATAGAAAAATTAAGATAAAAACTGATGTAAATAAACAAAAACTATGTAATTGTCGAAACCCTCAAAATTGCCCACTACAAAATAAATGTTGCACTGAATCATTAGTATACCAATGCAATATCTCTTCGATTGAAAATCCTGATAACAAAAAATATATATAGGTTGCACTAGCCATGAATTCAAAAAAAGATTCAACCAACATCAAACTTCATTTAGAATAAATAAATATAAAAATCAAACATCTCTCTCAAAATATTTCTGGCATCTAAAAGAATCAAATAAAACACCTACAGTAAAATGGAAGTTAATAAGAAGAGCTAGAATTTGTAGATCATTAAACGACCCGTGTCCTCTATGTATACAAGAGAAACTATATATTACTAAGTTTATAAAAAATAAAAATTTACTGAATCAGAGAAATGAAATAGCTATTATATGCCGTCATTGTCAAAAATTTTCCTTAAATAATATATAAAAAAAAAAAAAAAAAAAAAGTCTATTGGAATGGCAGGAAAAATGTTTTAAACTGTTATTTAAAATTTAAAATTGTGGTTAAAACGTATTAAAACATAAACACCGTTTAAAAAATTGTAGTTAAATAAAATGTATCCTAACCGAAACACCTCTATAATAAATGTACTACAAACACTTGAATGAATCCGATAAAACACCTCCTGAAAAAAATGAAATTATAACTAAAGCTAGATGATGTAAGGTAATGTATGACCCATTGTTCTTTGTACATACATATGAAACTTTATTACTCAGGTTACATATATTTAAAATAAATAATTTAATTAATTAATACATAAAGTTTACTAAATCTGAGAAATGACTTAGATAGTTTTGTAGTCTGTGCCATTTATATTACTTAAATATTTAAATATAATAGTTTAAAAATTGTAATTTACATATACTTTGTTATGGAAAATAATTATACTTACTATGAGTAATTATCCTTCTGTTATAAAGTAATATAGTCAATTAAAACTAACAATGAAAATATTTTAAAATTTTAATGTGGTAATTTTAAAATTGTAATTAAAATTGTAGTTAAATAAAATGAATTCTAACCTGTTCTTGGTACATACATATGAAACTTTACTACTTAGGTTACATATATTTAAAATAAATAAATAAATTAAGTAATAAATAAAGTTTACTAAATCCGAGAAATGACTTGGCTAATTTTGTAGTAAGTTCCATTAATATTACTAAAATAATATTTTAAAATATAAAGGTTTAAAAATTGTAATTTACATATACTTGGATATTGAAAATAATTTTACTTACTATGAGTAATATTCCTTCTGTTATAAAGTAATATAGTCTAATATAACTAACAATGAAAATATTTCAAAAGTTTAAAGTTTGTAATTTTAAAATTGAAACTAAAATTAAAGTTAAATTGAATGAATTCTAACCTAAATTTCTTTTTAAATAATACTACACGCACTAAAAGAATCCTTAAAAAGCAAATATAGTAAAATAAAATTAATATGAAATGCCATAAGATGTAAGCTTTTGAATGACCCATGTCCTTTGTACTTACATGAGAAACATTGTATCACTAGGTTTTATATATATATATAAAAAAAAAAAAAAAAATGTAACCTCATATACATACTTAAACTTGAATTAATACATAAAGTTTACTAATTCTGAGAAATGACTTAGACAGTTTTGTAGTCTGGGCCATTAATATTACTTAAATAATATCTAAATTAAAAGTTTAAAAATTGTAATTTACATATACTTTGATATGAAAAAAATTTTTACTTACTATGAGTAATTATCCTTCTGTTATAAAGTAATATAGTCTAAATTAAAACTAACAATGAAAATATTTTAAAATTTTAAAGTTATAATTTTAAAATTAAAAAATTAAAATTGTAGTAAAATAAAATGAATTCTAACATGTTATTTATACATACATATGAAACTTTATTAATTAGGTTACATATATTTGAAATAAATAAATTAATTAATTAATAAATAAATAAAGTTAACTAAATCTGAGAAATGACTTAGCTAGTTTTGTAGTAAGTGCCATTAATATTACTTAAATAATATTTAAATTTAAAAAGAGAAGAAGGAAAAAAAAAAAAAAAAAAAAAAAATTTACATATACTTTGATATGGAAAATAATCTTACTTAATATGAGTAATTTTCCTTCTGTTATAAAGTAATATAGTCTATTAAAACTAAACAATGAAAATATTTTAAAATTTTAAAGTTGTAATTTTGAATTTGTAATTAAAATTGTAGTTAAATTGAATGAATTCTAACCTAAATTTTTTAAATAATACTACACGCATTAAAAAAGAATCCAAAAATAACACCTATAGTAAAATAAAATTAATATGAAATACCATAACATGTAAGCTTTTGAATGACCCATGTCCTCAGTACTTACATGTGAAATATTATAATAATAGGTTTATATATAAAAGAAAAGTTTACTGAATCAGTGAAATTAAGTAACCATTTCTGCTGTCATAGTCATATACAAAAAAAAAAAAAAAAAAAAAAATGTAACCTCATATACATACTTAAACTTAATGTTAAAATAATCCTACATAATATAATGGATTCTAATACATTTAACTGTTCTTAAAAAGAATATAGTAAAATAAAAATTAAAAAGGAAAATATTTCAAATCGTAGTTAAATAAAAAGTATTGTAAAAAAAAATCTTTAATTTTAAAAGATGACGTTGAAAATTTTTACCGTTAACAATTTTTTTTTTTTTTTTTTAAAATTCAGACGACATCCATTCAACCGACGTCAGGTTTCAGTGTAAAATACATCCTCACCCCTTACCAAAATGTAGCTAATAACTGATACAATGATACTGTCATAAGGAAAATCTAGACACCCCGTGTTCAATTTGAGTAGAATATTCTGTAACCATGGAAACGTGATTTTAGCTGTGTATTTAAAACCCGGTAAATTTTAAAAGTTACTCCAAAATTCGCTTGAAGATGAAATGGAACTAATGCTTTTAATTTATTTGCAAAAAATAAAATTAGGGTTTTAGCTTCTATTTTTGAAACATGGTTGAACTGTGTAGCGAAAATAACCATATTTTTAAATCAATTAATTTATAATATTAATGCTCTGTAAATTTACATTGAGCACTATTTTGTAAAATAAAATATCTATAAGAACACCGGATTTTATATCTTACTGTTCTTTCTTTTTTTTTATTATATATATATATATATATATATATATATATATATATATATATATATATATATATATGAGCTCTTGTACGCTTTCTCTCTCTCTCTCTCTGCCTTTACGTATATATATATATGGATTATTTATCTTTCTTCTGTGGGATAAACAAGCAAACGTCTTTCTGTCTATTAATTTTATATTCTTACCACTCGAGTCGGCGTCGATGAGTCGTTCCTTCTGGGACAAACACTCATATAACAATAATAATCGATATTGTGGCATCTTTCATTTACACTTGAATAAGATACGAGAAGGTTTCGTCCATAGCTCAGAAAATCTCGGTTGACTTTTCAAAAATGTGTAACATTCTATTTTAAAGAGGACATGCGTAAAAAGGAATATCGAAGTAAGGTGTTATTCACGTTTCAAATCCGTTGAAAGTTGATCGCATTAAATTAAATCAGACAAATGCATAATTTAAATCGGGTGTGCGTGTAATGTAACGATTACTGGCGCGGGAAGTGGGATCGACGAGTCGAATTCAAATTTCGGTCTGATCTGTTTTTTGTTTTTTTTCACTTTCGCATTTAAAACCTTTTTGGAAAGACAGGAATCAATCATTTCCCTTCGGTTACATTATCTCTCTTGTCTTGAGTGGCAGCCAGTTTAGAAGAATGGCTACTCAGAATTCAAAACTGTGGAAAGGCAACAGAAAACGTTCGTCTATCTTTCCTAAGAATTCTTGGCAATTCACAGATAATAAAGATGGAATATTTTTTATATGCTGTATCCCTGCAAAACATGGACGAACATGAGTCTCAACAGCTTCATTTCCTTGTCGCTGTAAGAAACTTTTGAATCATTACTACCCATGTTTGTTACACGCCGTTTCCGCCTGACTCACCTTCCTTCTGTCAGTCTTGTGAGCGTTAAATTTTCCAAGCCTTTTTGCCTCATAATGTGTCCAGGAAATTTCTCTTTCTGATTTTATCGATGCACTTAGACTTAGATTCATTCTAGATGTTTTATTCAAGAAAACAAAATATTCTGTTATGCTTTTTATCACTGGGGCCTAACGAAGTTTCTTTATTAATATATCTTCTTAGAATAGATTTCCAACACTTTCTTATTCTTATAAAGTGGAGCATACCATAATAATTTAATTATAGACTCATTATTGACTCCATTATAGACATTATTAAGCTCTTCAACTTGTAGCCTCTTATCCAAACAAATTTCACGATGTTGCTAATCGTTTTAGACCTCAGCGTCAAAGCAGTAATTAATAGTTTCATAAGGGAAGACCCAATCACAAAGTTAATAGCAATACATTATAATATTCAGTCATCATCATCAGTTTCATGACTGGGTGTGCTCGTACGGTGGCAGCGCAGTTGAGCACCTGGTCAGTCCTTTCCATATATTTGAAAGCCGCCAGTGGCATTCATCGCAGTGTAGTTTGCCTTGAGCAAGTAGACCTTGCGGAGTCCATCCCTCTCCAGGTCAAACCACAGCTGATGTCCTCCAACTTGAAAGCTCGTCTGGGTCATGGACACGTAGCCGTTAATTCTATCTGTGGCTGCGGACTTCTGTATAGAAAACCCTTCACCCAGCGATGCCTTGTTATCACCGAGCTAGCTATAGACAAGGCCCAATCTACCCCAGTGTGCTAGATGTCTGTCGACCCTACAAGAAAGTCCGACGCCACTTTGACAAATCTTGTTTTCAATCCTGCTGTGTATCTAGCCAGACTCCTTACCAGAAACATCTAGTAGGGGAACCGGTTTAGTCAATGTATGAGTGATAGTACTGGGTTACATAGTACCAACCAGTAGCGCTCGTAACGTAACTTGACATAAACTACAATTAATGCAATCGATTAAATTACTCTATTTTCCGGCTTACAAGACGCACTTATTTTTGCTAAAAAATACCCTGAAAAATAAGTGTGTAGACATACATTTATTTTTCAAGACGAATGTAAGGCAACTTGGACGGTCACCTAATTGGCCTGACTGATAGCGACGTGCATTTTTATGTTGAGTCATTACACTATAATGTTAGCTATCTTTCTAATTCAGCCTTTTATTTTTATTTTTGTAAGTTTCTCACCTCAAGCACGCAAAGGGTTACAGAGAGTGGGAGCAAGAGTAAAGAGGCGTGATAGAGGAAAAGATGAAGAGAAGGACGGGGAATAGATCAAGGCATCTGGAGATGTTGATTGAGATTGCATTTGAATATTTGGAGATTATAGCTATCAGGGAAGCAAGTAAGAGGAAGGGAGTTTCACAGACGGGAAGTGCGAGACAAGAAGCTATTAGAGTAGAAGAGACGGCTACATTTAACCGCTTCCACAGTGAAAGGGTGGGACTAAGATGCCGACCTTGTGGCACGTTTAAATTCATGCAATTTGGGAACTAGCGAAACTACCTCGTCGGAGCAGTTACCGTGAGGGAGCCATAGCACGTCTGTGAGAGAGCGACTGTAAACGAGATGCCAGATCAGTGATAACTACCTTGTATAACCGTCTCTGGATTTTGTCGAGGCACCCTAAGACGAACAGCAGGTGCTCCAGACCATATATGACAGCAATATTCCATGTAAGTGTGAATGTTTGATTTATAGATTTAAAGGATGAACTCGGACTTGAAAAACTTTCTGACGCGACACAGAGAACCAACTTTCCTTGCGGTAGATGAAGCTATTGATTCAATGTAATTGTTCCATCTCTGGTCAGCGGACAGTGTGAGACCAAGCAGTCGCAAAGAGGTGCTCACGTAGAGTTGAGCATTAGACATTCTAATAGGAGGCAGGGAGGGTTTTCTGTGGCGGGTAATAGAGAGCAGTTTTGTTTTTGAGGCGTTAAAGTTAACCAGACATCTCCTGCCCCAGTCAACAACCAATTGGATGTCCTTTTCGAGACCAACGGCCAAGTTAGTTTTGTCAGCGAAACCAAATTTGCTATTTAGGCAGGGGTAAATAGTAGTGTCGTCTGCATAGATGCCTACTTGAGAACTGATGACATCGGGAAGATCGTTAATGAAGATAAGGAACAATGTAGGACCCAGAGCCTTGGGGAACACCTGCGTTCGGAACTGGAGGAGGAATCCGTTAAGGACGACCTTCATTACACAGTTTGACAGGAATTATTGTATTGTTAAATAATCATCCTGTAATGCCGTATCCCTGAAGCTTACGAAGGAGGCCGGCATGCCAAACACCATCAAACGCTTTAGAGGTATCTAGAGCCACGGCTCGAGCTTTTCCGTTATTGTGAAGTGCTTGGTAAAGAAATTCAGTTATGGCCGTGAGCACATCAGTTGCAGATCGGTCAACGCGGATGCCATATTGTTTGTCAAAGAGCAGATGATGGGATGTAATGTGCTTAACCACTTCGGCGTTGATTAAAGCTGCAAAGACTTTGCCGAAGAGTGGTAGGAGATTGATAGGACGGTAGTTAGATGGGCCAGAAGGGTCACCCGAGTTCTTAAAGATAGGTACAACAGATGAAGACTTCCAACAAACTGGAAAGCAAGAGTCGTTGAGGCAGTAGTTGTACAGTTTGGAGAGGACAGGAGCCAGTTCAATAGCACATTTCTTCAGAGCAGTGGCTGGTATTCTTATCCCACCGCTAGCCTTATGGGAGTCTAATTTAGAGATACCAATACCATATAAATCTCAGAATAGGCTCCCATCTGTGCATCTTCATCACAGTATACGCTAATCACACCCCTCTCTCTCCTTCCCTCTCGCTCTCCTCCTCCTCCCCCCCTCTCTCTCTCTCTCTCTCTCTCTCTCTCTCATGCAGTGAGAAAAGCTATTCCTTCCAAGCATGCAAGCCTCTGTCTCGAACTGATAATATTTCTAACTGAAAAAATAAAATAAAATCTATCAAATTTTAATAGAAACAATATATTTTCTATCTAGAGATGTGGAATCAGTCTATATAAGATAAAAAACGAAATTGTGAACAGTGGGGTGCTGTTTCTAACAAGACGCAACGTCAAAACCCTATCGCTATTTCTATGGTTAATGTTCAAATGAGCTCCATATCTTTAGTTCCACCAGTTCAGACCTTTACGTCCTAAGTTCACGTAGTCGAATCAGCGGCATTTTCTCAGTATTCTAATTGTATGGAGTAAATTCGAAAGCGACAACTTTTTCTCGAGAAACCCTACTCTGGAGAACAGTCCAACGTGGAGACTTCTTCGAACACTACAATCTTAAACTCATCGAGTTCAGGGTCAATTGTTATCTACCCTTCTTATCTTTGTAATCTTCATTTCCTTCTATCTTCTCTCACACCCACACACTCCACACACACCCCTAACTCACTCACTTTCTACGAGTGACGCTCGAGTCTTGTATTGAGTAAACTTTAGTATGAAAAAATTTTCTCTGAAAAAAAATCTTTTTGAAAAGTAAATGTTTCTGTGAATATAATTGCGTGTGTGTGTGTGTGTGTGTGTGTGTGTGTGTGTGTGTGTGTATTCCTCAAATGAGACATTTTGGCTTATTTGTTATACTCGTAATGTATAAAGAAATACATTTGTTTTTTTCCCAAAGCTGTACTTTTATTACTTGATGTCAGCAAAGACAATATTGGGAATTGGTGTCACCGTAAAAAGACGAGAAGTTTTGTCTAGTTGCAATCGTGTAATTTTGTTTAGGACATTGGTAGAAGGCTTTCTCTTTCGATGTATTAAATAGTAGCGGAAAAAGAGCAACTAACCAGTTTCTAATTATTCTTGTTTTACGCCTCTGAAAAAAATAAAGTGAAATTTCGATGACTTATCGATTGCTGTAGTTACTCATTGTAGGAGTTCCTTTTAAAATGAGTCGAGGCAGAAATACTGTTGCAGCGTTAGACCTAAAAATAAATTTTCTCCCCGCATCCCGCCATCGCAAAAAGTGCAATCAAACGCACACACATAATAAAAATAATAATAATAATAATAATAATAATAATAATAATAATAATATAAGGATGTGGGGCATGAAGACCGAAACTGTACCAGTAGTAATCGAAGCAATGGGCTTCGTGAAAAAAGAAATGGACAATTTTACTAATAGTGTCCCAGGTTAAATTAACGTACAAGTTACCCAGAAGATCGCCCTATTAGGAACATCCCATATCCTAAGAAAAGTGCTATCAATTAAATGATAATTCTCCTATAGGACCTAAGCACCATAGTTTGGACCAGACTCTACAGGATACAAAGCAGGAAACATAATATGCACAAATAATAATAAT